TATAAATATAAACATATTTATATTTATATAAGTTATCACAATACATTGAAGCTCTTTCGAAAGTGCACTCCGGGATGGAATTTTGGGCAAAAATGAGAATAAATCTCAATGGAAACATCACTGTTGAGAGTAAAGAGTATAGCTAAAGTACATATTCCATGAAAGATGGCATGACCGTATCCAATACATTATAGATAACGTAGATTCATAAGGGGAGAAAGGTCGAGATCATTTAGTGTTGCTAAAGATAGTAGGAACGAGATAGCTCGGTATACTTGAAGTATTACAACATCTTATTTATTAGTTTAGAAGGGATGGACAAATAAAGTACACACATAGACTGTACATGGAAGAGATAGGAAGGAGACATTCGATTAAGGAAATAGAGGCGGACAAAAAAGGAAAAAAACTCGAACATAATAAGATGAGAATGATAGCAAAATGAGGATTTTTGTTACATGAATGCCAAGAAACAGTGACAAGGCTCATAAGCAGGTTAAAAAACAAGTTCACGAGTTGAAATAAACAATAAACTGTAGTAGAAGAGAGTAAGCTTTAAAGATAGACGAAAATATTGAAAGCCACAATTTTGAGATTTGCGAAGGCATAGGATACATATCACACATTGGCTTCAATCATACAACCCTAGTGGGCAATTTTACTCCAAGTGACCGGCTTATAAGGCAAAATTAATGTATTTAAAAGAAACTTAAAAAAAACTTTGGAAGTGTGCCGCGAATGTAGGCCAGCTGAAAGCCTACCTAATGAAAGGTGCGCAAGGAAAAGAGTATGCAAAAGCAATTGCAGCGGTGATTGCGCGATCGTGGCCGACTGTCCATGGTTGCGGTTGATGAACCAAGAATAAAAAGTGGAGAACTTTCGAATCGATCTAAGACGGATGTGAATGGTAAAGCTGGCTATTCGTAGCGTTTTGGTGATACATTGGATGTGTAATTCCAGAAGAGCCCTGACTGGAAACAAGTGGTGGCGTGACGTCGGAGTAGAAGCGCCGTGAGTAGACTTCATCTAAATTTAAAGTAAGATGTTCGAAATTACTAACCATGACAAAATCATTAGATCATAGGCGGTTAAATTTTGGTGATTGTAGTTGAATACACACAATACAACTAAAAGCAGCCTTATTTGAGAATTTGAGTTGCCTGATGTGTTTATAAGGTGAATGGAAAAACGTGGCAATAGAGCAAGTGTTAAAAGATTCAAAATGTTTGATAACACTTAAGCACAGCTAATTTAATAAAATTAATAATAAAAGCCAAATGACTAGGCGCATCTACTCTATAACCCAAAAAAACTGACCCTTGAATATGCTCAGTAATCCAGCATAATAGTTGATAAAAAAAAGTATGACTAACCTAGACCATGCGAAATATAAAAAGTAAAAATGAACAATATTATCAATAATACTAGTGAAATTTAGCTCCAAAATCCGTGCTGAATACAGATTATAATATCCGACAGATTTAAATTGAAACGCTAACCTCAAAAAATCAGTTGGTTAATTTTTAGAAAACATGCAAAATCGACGAATAAATCAGACACATAATTGTTTATAAAAGTGAAAAGGCCAGTGCAGTTAAAATAAGTATTACGTATGAAGGATAAGTGAGATGAGGCTATAAAAGGGAATAGCGTAAATTATGATCCATTAGAGAGAGTTTAACTACTCACTCAGTCCCCTACTGTTAAAGGCCGCAGCAGCTGCCATAGCAGCAGCAGCTTCATAACCAGATGCAACACGGAGTTGCTCCTGAGAATAGTTTGTATGCTCTTTCGGATGTTGCTGCATATGTGTTCTGGAAGAATAAAGTTGAAAATGACTCTGCTGTTGCTCTGCTGGTGATGTTGGACTGGAGTGTTGTACATAATGGGCAGTGTGCGGTTGCTGCCGTGGTTGATCTAGTTGAGGATGATTGTGATGGTATCTTGGTGTTGTATTTGCAGTTTGAGAGGCAGAATATTCTAGCATAGATGCAGCTGTGGATGAAGAGGAAGATGAAGATGAAGACGAAGAAGAGATTGAATCTCGACTGGGGTTAGATGTGAGATCTGTCCGATCCAGATAAACAGAGGTCTGACAGCGCTGGCTACCAGTCGATGTTATGTGTGCTTGAGGTTGAGATTGCCTTTGATGGAGTTGAAGTTGATTATTTCCTTGAGAGTTCCCTTGTGGTAGTTGATGTTGTGTTTGAGTGTGAGGGTATGGGGATTGCTGACTGAATTGTTGTTGTTGTTGCTGCTGCTGCTGTTGGTGGTCACGATGCTGCTCGTGATTGTGCTGTTGGGCGTAGTAAGCAGCAGCTGCGATAGCGGCTGGGGCCTCCGGGCCAGAAGGCCAGTCATTCGGCTCGATCTCTAATGGATAGCTGAGATGACCTTGAGGTAAAGTAGGAAGGTAAGAGTGCTGCTGAAGGTGCCGGGAAATATGATGTTGATGTTGAGACTGGGCCTCTATTGAAGCCTGATCAAGGGAATTGGCCGACTGTTGAGAGTGATGATGCGGCTGCAGTTGGGTAGAGTGCTGTGAAATATGTTGGACATGTGTGCGCTTTTCAGAAAGGTCAACTTGTGGAGCAGCAAGATTGAGCTGCTGGTGCTGTTGATGATTTAGCTGCTGGTGTTCTGAATAAAACCGATGCCAATGAGAAGCCGCAGCTGCTGCTGCGGCCGCAGCCGCGGCAGCCTCTGTGGACCGCGGCTCGCTTACAGCTAGGCCTGTCCCAGAGCGACTTAAGGCAGCAGAGGTTGGCGTCTTGCGAGGGGATCTGGAAATATCATGTGATAACTCTGCCCGCATCTCAAGTTGCTGCTTTTGGCGATGTAATGGATCTTGATTTGAACCTGAATATGCACTGGAGTATTCGACTCCTCCATGAGGCCAATAGTAGTTACCTTGTGCCGAGTAAGGAGTTTGGATACAGTCAACACTTGCTTGATCATGGGCAGGTTGTTGATGTTGATGTTGATAGTGGGCAGCCGCCGCTGCAGCAGCAGCGGCGGCAGCAGCCGCAGCATCAGGCGCTTGACCTGCTGCCAACGATCCAAATATTGATGAGGCCCACTGATCATAGTAAGCACGGACCTGGTGTGCCTGTTGTGCTGCAGTCATCATCGAGGCAGCCGCGGCATAAGCAGCCAAAGCCTCCTCTTGGTGCTGGTTATGTGAGTGCGTGTGTACATTGGCGTGCTGCCGGTGATCACTGGCCTCAGCAGCAGCCGCTGCTGCAGCCGCAGCCGCAGCTGCCGCCATAGCCATTGCTGAAGGTGAATCAGAAACGCTGGCATTAGCTGAGGTTTTTGAGCCTACCCGATCACTGGAAGTTGAGATAGCCGGATCACTGGACTCTCGAGACAACACATGGCCGAGCTGGGAAGACAATGTCGATTGATGAGTAGGAGTAGGAACTAAGAGACCGATGTGAGTTGACCCTGCATTCTCTGAATTGGAACGCATATGATCCGATTTACTATCACGAGTCGGAACATAACAAATGTTGGATTGCAGCTCTTCCTGAACAAATAAAGATAATGCATGAATAAAAATACCTCATTAGTAATATTTGAATTGCAGTTAGTTACAGCACAGACAAATATATAAGACATAAAGGCTAAAAACACTAGTAGTGATAGAATCGTTGATATAAACATAAGACATTTTATCGAAGGTATGAAGACTAAGATGATGTAGGTTTTTGTGTGGCTGCAGTCCCCTTTCGGTGCGGTTGCTTGACATTGTTTTCGCAAATAGATCATATTCGTAGGAAGACTTAAAGGAACGCACCTAGTCCGGAGTCCATAATACGCATGATAATTTAAGGAGTCGGACCATGGTCGTGGTACATTCCCAGACGTTTCGCCGGCATCGTCAGTAAGCATTACTACTCTTATCACCACACTATAACTCGTCAGAGGCAATTAAAGCCGATACTTTGATCAATTGTCTGCTAGACAATCGTGTGACGTCTCCTACCGTCCTAGCCTAATCACCAATCCCATATCTTTGTATCACACCTCCACTATCATAATTTTAATTTACTTATTTAAATGTGGTATGGTGTGTCCTTTTGTGCGGTTTTCATGAGAACTCTCCACACTTAACGCTGGATTTCACATCCTCTTCGCCCTTGTGCTGGGAATGTTGATCAAAGTCTGCCCCATTGAAAGCATTCCTCCTTCCCTAGATCTTATCAGTCTCCTTCTTGCCCGTAAGATCCGTCTGCTGTGGTTCAACATTGAACCTAATCAAAGTAAGTAGTACAACACCATTTGTGGATTAGAATACAAGAGACTAGGTAATAGGAAGTCATATACTTGGCATTAAGGATAGAAACAGGATAGACGCGGCGAAGACTAGAGCTAGTTGGCTGACAGTAGGCTTGTTTTAGCATAGACGTGGTCCATGTGGTAAAAGCTTGACAATGAGAATTACGCGGGGGTTTTAGCCTCAAATTAGTCTCCCAGAGGCAGAGTGTGGGAAATAACGCCTCGAGTAGAATAGATAGGATGAAATACTTAAACCAGGGAGATCTCAGATGGATCCTACTGGGCAATAGACTCTGATAAGACCTAAATAAGGATTGCGTAATAATATGGCAGACCAATCAACATTCCTCGGCATAAGGGTGAACGGGGTGAGAAAGCCAGCGTGGAGTGTGGAGAGTCCTTGGGAAAGCCGCTCAAAAGGGCATACCATACCACATTTAAATAAGCAAGTAAAAATTGTTGTAATGAAAGCGTGATACGGGGATATGAAATTGATGATTAGCCCAGGGCGGAAGGAGAGATACCACGATTGTTTAGCAGAGAATTGGTCAAAAGTTCGGCTTTACTTGTTTTTCTGACGAGTTGTAGTGTGGTGCTAAGAATGGCAAGAATCACTGACGATGCTGGCGAAACATTTGGGAATGTACTACGTCTAGGGTCCGACTCTGGAAATTATCATTCATACTATGGACTCAGGACTAGATGCGTCCTTCTAGATCTTCCTATCAATATGATCAAGTTGCGAAGACAAGGCCAAGCAACTTCTATACCACATTTTAGGCATATACTATAAGAATGGTGCTCACAAAGTAATCTCTAAAAACTTTATGTACTCAAACTGTATTCAAATATCAAACTCTATAACCAGAAATAGCAAATAATTTACGATGAAGATACCCATTATTACAGATGTTATATATAAAGTTGAGGTCTAAAAACAGATTAAGCATACATCCTAAATTCGTTATATCTTTAGACCGAAGAGAAGAAAAGCAGCCTCAAGCCACTGGCTTATATAGAAAAATGAATATCTAAGTTTAAATATATGGTACTCAATTAAATTAGTGACTAAGTGCCCCTTTAATATCATAGTTTATACCACCTACACGATAACAAAAATGTCCTCCCACTGTATTTTAGTTAAACTTTTCAGAGACCCCAAGACTTCATAAAAATGCACCATTTCATGCAGCAAACTTTCTCGCACCGACTTTCTCTCATACATAGAAAACTAATTATCCACATTCTTCATAAGCAAACTATCACTTGCACTTTATCGACCAACCAAATCCTTGCCAACAGGTCCTGAATTTTTTATATGGTCCATCAAACTCCACCTCTTCACACAAAACAAAGGCAACTGGCCATCCTTCATATGCCGCAAAGTACATAGGAGGATCTCCTAGATGGATCTATTTTCTCACCATTGCCGCACTGAGCGCGAGACCGTTTTTGGCGCAAAACTTCACGGGAGCTAATTCAGCATGACCTCTCTGCGCAACTACGACAGCGTCTTGTCTCACCGGAAAGTTCTGACAGTCAGTTCTCCGAAAATCAGAGGAGTTACGTTATAGCGTAGTAACTTCAACTCAGCCAGCCTGCCCGAATAGCATTTCCTCTGGATTATGTTCGTCGAACCTCCAAGCCTCACTATGACCGTAAGTAAAACCTCCGCGTAAGAACCTCAGCATTGAAACCCAAAGAAAGTCTCTAAATGATTGCTTAGGCTTAACAATAGCAAAGGGACTTTTTCCGGACCAACTCCAACTCGATGCCAAATCTGTGCATAATGCTTATATGCATTTAATGATCGGAGAGTCTCTACCACGTGGTTAAACTACGTAGCATGCCTTTTCGGCTGCTGAGTTCAAGTCCTGCTCGCCCCCCTGAAACTTCTACACATGCAAACTAAATCGACCGCATAGAAATGTATACCTTTCCAGAATTATGCAGTCTCTGAGCCACATTATTTCAGTCTCTGGTCTAATTCCCCATATCATATGTCAAGAGTCAGATCACAACAAACTAGTCCATATAAATCAACCAGACGAATAAATTGAGTATCATGAATTTATTTAGATAAGAAAAGAATAGAAAATCTGTTGGAAAAAGAGATGACTGAATAACGGAATAAAAGCTTTGCACAATAAACTGTTAACAAGAGTATGTCGAAAAAAGCTTTCGGCTGAAATTCCTGATGGGTCCGAGACGAATCAAATTGACGGTGAAAGCTAAAGGCTAAAAATAAGTTTTTGAAACCAAGCACAGAGGGGAACAATTGGCATAAATTTGATTGGCAAATGCGATTAGGGAATTCCAGGACCAAAAAACTAAAAAAATTGCATCATAGACAGGAGATTCAAGCGTTAAACGAGGACAACGAAGTCAGAACAAAAGATAATTGGAAAAGCGATCGAATCAAGAAAAAAAATGGCGCAAATAAT